AGGTGACTACATTTGGGAGGGGAAGGGGTCCTGGGAAACCACATGGGGCCCTGCTTCCTCCTCCTGTGTCTAGACCCCAGCATCGCCATCTCTGTCTCCCCCACTTCCAGGATCCTGGGCCCAGTCTGTGCTGAGTCAGCCGCCTTCAGTGTCTGGGAACCGAGGCCAGCAGGTCACCGTCTCCTGCTCTGGAGGCAGCAGTAACGTTGGGCGTGGATATCCAGACTGGTTTCAGCAGTTTCCTGGCAATGCCCCCAAACTCCTCATCTATAGTGGTAGTAGCAGGCCCTCAGGGGTCCCCACCCAATTCTCAGGCTCCAGCTCAGAGAACACGGCCACCCTGAGCATCTCTGGGCTCCAGCCTGAGGACGAGGCTGATTATTACTGTGCAGCCTGGGACAGCAGCATCAGAGCTCACACAGTGCTCCAGGCCAGTGGGGAAGTGAGACACAAACATGCTGCACCCAATGGTGGGACTCCCCGTGCAGCACCCTCCTCGGCCCAGACACCTGCTCTCTCTAATTTGCCTGAAAGCTAGTGTCTCAGACCCAGCGCAAGGAACATCTTTCTGGTGTCAGATTCGCCCCTTAAGCCAACACCATCCTTAGCAGCAAGACATTGTCTGATGTTTTGAAATTCAATAAGAATTCCTCAAAACAAGGGGTAGGATTTCCTGGGAACAGAGTTCATGGTGGAGTCAGGGAAGAACAAAGGACACAGGATGCAGTTGTGACTGATTCAGGGAAGTCAACTAATTCAGAGGTTTGTCCAAGTGGACAATTTATTGAATCCCTATATGCACCTGGGTTACAGCCCCAGGGATACAGGTGAGGAGAGACAGCTCAGGGATGCCCAGAGTAGCAGACCAGAAGAGCAGGAGAAAGGAGATTAAAAGCCTTGAACCAGGACAGAACAGCAGTCAGCCCCAGGGATACAGGTGAGGAGAGACAACTCAAGGACACCCAAAGAAGCAGGCCAGAAGAGCAGGAGAAAGGGGGATTAAAAGCCAGGAAGCCAGACAGAGGTACAGTCAGCCACAGGGACCCAGGTGGGGG